AGCATTCTAAGGAATTGCAATACCTTATTTATACAAGAATTCTAGGTAAGGAAGAACACCAATGAACAAAACAACCCACCTGTATAAAGATTTAAGGCTTAAAATAAATATCCATACATGGGGCAGATCTGTAAAGATCCATCCCTATCAAAAAATTTCATTTTCGATGTCACAACATTGCTTGTTTGCTGGAGTTTGCTGATCGGGGGTGGCCTGGTCACTGCTTGTTCGCCGCCGGCTGCTGCTGTTGTTGTGACGGAGCTCGCTGTCTCGCCGGCGTCGATGGAGAAGAGAGATGGAGGAGGCGGCTGATTTTGGGAGAGGAGAGATGGATGAGGCGGCTGATTTTGGGAGAGGAGAGGAAGAGAGGGCGCCAAGGTTGCTGCTGGTCGCAGTTGCTGCTAGTCGCCGAAGCGAGGAAGAGAGGAGAGAGAGGGAACAGCGGCGGCGGGGCGGCTGGAGAAGGAGAGAGGAGATCATTAATTTAGGGTATTAGTTTTGATATATTAGAAGGAAGGAGATGGAATTTAATCTGGACCATTGAATAATATAAGATGTAGGGCTGAGATTTGATCTAGGATTTAATTTAGAGATGGACGGATGGGATTAAATCACTTGGAATCTGAAATTGAAATAAGAATGGGCCTAAATTGAAATAATCACTTGCGACTAAATTGAAATTAGAGGCTAAAATCGAAAGAGAATTGCATAGAAAGAGGGTTAGAATTGAAATAAATTGGAATAGAATGGACTATAATTTAAATAATTTAGAGGAAGAATAAGGAAATGCTATCCGATTAATAAATACTACATATTAAAATATTTTCACACATTATTAAAAACATCTAATATTTTAAAATATAAGTAAAGTAATTATTTTGAGTTTAACTATCGATAAATATAATAATTTAAAAATAATAATATTTTTATAAATCATGCATACTAAAATATATAATTTTTTAGACAACCTTAATTTTTATGATTTGTTTTTATTTATGTTTTTCAATTGCAATTTCTTATTTTAAAAAAATAGACGTGTGCCTGTTAATTAAAATAGATGCAGAATTTCAAATATTAACCATTTTTTATATGTCTCTATAATATATTAAGTTGTTAATTATTGTATTTTATAGTACATTTTGAACCTAATTTTTTAATAATATATGTTATTTGCCATGTCCCAATTTATGTGGCATTAATTGATAGATTTGTTGGAGTCGAGAGATTTATTTTGTTAATTATTGTAATTTATAATTTGTTTTTCGTCAATTTCGTCGACTATTTATTTTATTAATTATTGTAATTTATTGTTTCTTTTTCGTCAATTTCAAACAATATATGTTTATCATATAATCAATTTTATGTGGTACCAATAGAATTTAGAGGGTCAATTAAATTTTGTATATAAGTTTTAAATAATTAAGCTGTTAATTATTGTAATGTATAGTATTACTTATATTATTTTTAATTATATTTAAATATTATATGTTATGTTTTTTATCCTAATTTATATGGCATTGATAGAATTGAAAGTGTCAAATAATTGTTAATTATTGTAATAGATAATATGGAGTATTTAAGTCATTTATAGTATAGTAATTAATATATAATATGTAGTATTTAAGTGTTATATTATGGAATTTGAGAAGTTATTGAAATTTTTATATGATTTTAAAAATATTTTAAATTGTTAGCTATTGTGATTTGTAGTACTTTTTTTTTTTACATAATTTTGAAAATAATATTTATTACTCTGTTTGTTCTAATTTATGTGGCACAGACAGAATTTCAAATATTAGCCCTTTTTTATATGTCTCTTTAATATATTAAGTTGTTAATTATTGTTTTTTATAGTACATTTTGAACCTAATTTTTTAATAATATATGTTATTTGCCATGTCCCAATTTATGTGGCATTAATTGATAGATTTGTTGGAGTCGAGAGATTTATTTTGTTAATTATTGTAATTTATAGTTTCTTTTTCGTCAATTTCAAACAATATATGTTGTTAATTGATAGATTTTTTGGAGTGGACTATTTTTTTATTAATTATTGTAATTTATTGTTTCTTTTTCGTCAATTTCAAACAATATATGTTTATTATATAATCCATTTTATGTGGTACCAATAGAATTTAGAGGGTCAATTAAATTTTTTATATAAGTTTTAAATAATTAAGCTGTTAATTATTGTAATGTATAGTATTACTTATATTATTTTTAAATATATTTAAATATTATATGTTATGTTTTTTATCCTAATTTATATGGCATTGATAGAATTTAAAGTGTCAAATAATTGTTAATTATTGTAATAGATAATATGGAGTATTTAAGTCATTTATAGTATAGTAATTAATATATAATATGTAGTATTTAAGTGGAAGGTGGTGGGGTCCACTTATATAGTTTGATAAATATATTGGATATTAGTAGTGATTTATAGTATAGTAATTAATAATATATAATATGTAGTATTTAAGTGGAAGGTGGTGGGGCCCACTTATATATTTTATAAATATATTGGACATTAGTAGTGATCTTATTGGCAAAATGGTAGTCATTCCTAGAGTCTTCTATAATATAGTAATATATATAATTTAACTACACATCAACAAAAGTTTAATTTAATAAATTTAATTTATCGATCAAGTTAATTTTATAAATTTAAATTATATACCTTCTAATTATATAAATTTAATTTTATTGATCAACAAAAGTTTATCAATATCAAATTTAATATATAAATCTCCTTGAATTGATCATCGGTATTTCTTTAATTGATAATGTATTTCATATCTGAACCACTAGTATATAAGACTTGATTTGTTAAACTACTCGAGGAATATATATATAATTAATCAACGTATTTCATACTCCGATGAAGTATCCTTTACATGTCATCATAATTAGGAGGTGATCACTATACTTGACATCCATTCAAGATCGAACGTATATAATAATACTATCTCGCATTTCATACTGGAATGGATTATATGTTAGCTCTTCACCTCTACTACATCATGACATGAGATATTAAGTTTATGATTAGACGACGGACTGATAAGATTTGTACATTACTCTATAAATATAAGTATAATTATCTCCTAATTCATATCAACGTAGTTTCATACTCTAAATATGGATTATAGATATTTTTTTATTTATTTCACGAATTCTAACATTTTATTTGTAAAAGGATACAAAATTGTTACACTTTTTGAACAATTAATCGTAGGTGTAAAATGAAATTTTAATATTATGCACAATAGCAAAATTATGATTAATAGGAATATTTTAAACATACCGACCTCCGGATGTCGCTTTAATTAAAAGTAATTAGATATAATAAAAAATACCGATCTCATGAGGTCGGTATCACATTAAATTTTAAGATAAATAAAAAGTAATCATGTTAATTAAATAATATTGACATCGGGAGGTCGGTATTTTATATTAAATTATTTTTTAACTTATATAAAACCGTCATTCGGAGGACGATTTATTTAAAGTTAATTGAAAATATTAATTTATTACATACTATTTAATTTTACCGACATCTGAAAGTCGGTATTATAATTTTTTTTGTTTTTAATTTTACACAAAACCATTTTCCGGAAGACGATTTAAATAAAATTAAATCAAAATATTTCTCAATTTTGTTTTTTATATGGAGAAATAGGGAAAATTGCGTCTGCTAGTGCAGATATTTTTAAAAAAGCGACGGACAACGTCTCTATGTTCGTCGCTTTTTAAAAAAAATGTTTGACCAACATTTTGACCAAAAAGCAACAGACTAAGAGACATTGTCCGTCGCTTTCTTAAAATATTTGACCAGATATTTTGACCAAGAAGTGACGGACATAAAGATGTTGTTCGTCGCTAATTTAAAAAATAATTAAACAATTAAAATTAATAAAAAGCGACGGACGGCGTGACTTTTTTAAAATTAATAAATAACTGTTTTTAATAAAAAGTGACGGACTGCGTCACTATCTATATAAAATAATTAATTAGCAAAAATACGCGAAAAAAAGCGACGGACTATGAGACGCTGTCCGTCGCTTTTTAAAAATGTTTGACTTGATATTTTGACCAAAAAGCGACGGACTAAGAGATGCCGTCCGTCGCTTTTTAAAAAAATTAATTAATAAAATAAAATAAATTAAAACGACGGACAGCGTGGTTATTGTTTAATTTATAAATAATTATTTTTAATAAAAAGCGACGGACTAAGAGATGCAGTCCGTCGCTTTTTGTAAAATAATTTTAAAAGTAATTATTTTAATTAAAAAGCGACGGACGGCATCTCTTAGTCCGTCGCTTTTTTAGAGCGACGCCGTCTGTCGCTTTTTCTTCCGTCGTTTTTTAGCAGATTTTTAATAGTGAAACCCTAATTATAACATTTTACAAACCCTATTACTTTAATCTCAGTATTACTTAAAACTCTAATTATTGTTTCATTCTGTAATTGCAAGCACACTTCTAACTTGAATGTGCCAATTGCCTAGACTTGCTGAAAATCGATTGTTACTTTCACACTTTTTCTTTTGAATGTGTCTAGTGTCTAAACTTGCAAGAAAAATGATTGTTACTTTTATGATTATTACTTTCATGCCAAATGCTAGAAAAATCATATGGTTTATATGAAATTTTTCTTATTGTGAATATTAATATATGAGTATTTTTTTATTGGTTAAATTGAAAACCGAATCGTTAAGTATCATAAATCGATTAACCAAAAACCGATAAGAAATATGTTATTGATTTGGTTATTGATTTGACGTATTTACAAACCGAAAACCGATAAATCAAACCAATAACACATAAAATCGAACCGAACCAATCGATGAACACCCCTACTAGATGGAGAATGATACAATCTATCCAAATAATATATTTATTAAAATAATATAATACAATACAATACAATACAATACAATATATTATGAAATAATAGGTAACAATCGTGTATATAGCGATCCTTACGGGTCAAGAAGGATGAGTGCAAGATGGAATAGATCCTCCTACATCTCTATGCATATTAGCCCTAAATATTCCTTCCTCAGTCCTCAAACGCCTAAAGCCTTCTCTCTTCCTCCTCTGCGCCTCTTCACTCTTCAGGTATCAATCAATCTTTAATTCTTCAATAACAATAGCTAGCACTTCCTTTTTTCCCATATATTCGAGTTTTTACTTGGATTTTGTTGCTATTTGTGTATTTTTTTTGACTTACAAATGTTTGATTTCTCTTTGTTTGTCAACAAATTCATATTTATATGTTTCAGAAGAAAAGGTCAATTTTTTCTTTCTCAGTTCTGCCATGTTTAGTCTGTTCAATTTGTGCCTCAGGCTGAAAGATGATGCATTTTTTGTACCCGAGATATCGTGTCAATTCGAAAGAAAGGCGTCCATATTCTGCTGTTCCATATCTAGTATTGGTATCAATTTTGATCCATAAATGTGCCCAATCTTGAATGGGTTGGTTTCATCTAGTGTTAATATAAGACTAATATGGGTTCCCCCCCCGGATCAACCTGCTCAAATGGTTGGTTTCAACTTGGGCTATATTACCTGCTTAAGAAAAAATGATTTTGAACTTGCGATATAATTTTACTTTATTGCGAATAAATAGCTTTTTTTGCAACTCAATAATAAGCTATCTTGCCTGGACTCTTCAAAATCCTTGCCGAACCCATGTTGACAACTCAACATGGGTGTGGGATCCACACCTAACTTGCTCAACTTACCTTGAGTGCTTTGATAACATATATGACTGCAAAGTATAGATTGATTGGGTATTTGGTTTGTTTTTGGATTTATATCACATATATAGTTATATAAAGTATGAGAATGTTTTGCTTATACCACATATCTTATGAAGTAAATATTACGTGCTTATAAAGAATTAATTTTTTATTAGTTTTAGTTCAATAGCTCTAATTAATCGAGATATATACTTTATATGTTGTACTGTACATTTATTAGTTGTACCCCAACACCATTATCCGCACTTGGCTCCATATATGGGATGAAGAATCTGACCTTTAGATCTGCACTAATATTAGGTACCCTCACCTGAGTCCAAGCAACTTAGGTTATGAGTGTGTGACCCACTGCTCATCCGTTCCTACAAAATATTTGTGATCCAAACAAACTTGTGATAGGTTGAATCATTGATTGGTACATTCCATTTTAAGCCATCCATTTAAGAAACACGAATTCCTTTCCTTATGATTCAAATATTGTGTTAATAATGAAACTTTGATGTAATGATAGTTGGGTGTAGGCAGTACTGGGTAAAGCTTTTTTTTTTTTTAATGTTAAAAACAATGGAATATTGGTTGTCTGCAAGCTTTTGCATTCTTTTTATTTCAGAATGTGATTATTGGGAATGATCGTTTGGGCTTGGCTGCTTTACAGTCCAATAATTGTAGGTTCTACAATAACATTTTATAAGACAGGAGTGAATTCTTGTTTGAACTTTGCTGCACCTACTTTCAGCCCCTTTTCTATTTGCTTGTAGTCTTCAACTTTTTGATTATATTATTCCACATTCAATTTAGATTTCTAGAAGCTTCATTTTGCAAAACTCAAAACTTTGTACCGAAACAAAGTGTCATAGCATTGATGAAAATTACATAAATGAATAGGATAACATGATATGTATGTTCACAGCACATATTTGATAAGTGGAGGCATAATATTCTTTTTAACTAGACCAAAGCATGATACTTTTGTCTTGTAGTCTCTACATCTTCAAAATAAAATTTGTCCAATAGATCAGTTATTAGGAACCCACGCCATTGATGATTACTTGAAACACTTTTTAATATGTCTTTTTGAGACTGAATGTCATGTAATGAAAAGAACATTATGTTAATTTTGCCTTGATGTTTTCCAGCTCTGGTTCATTCTTGATTTTCCTCACCCCCTCTCCCCCCTTCCATCTTTCTCTCCATATATTTTCCCTTTCAGTAGGAAAAAGCTGATTGAAAAATGGGGGAGGATGACGAGTACCGCTGTTTCATTGGTAACTTATCATGGTCAACATCGGATCGAGGGCTAAAGGATGCATTTAGGAAGTTCGGCAATCTTCTTGACGCCAAGGTAACAATTAGTTATTCTTTACAGGTTGTCTTCTTATTCTTCTATCTGTTTGGGCTTCTTTCTCCCACCCCCACCTCCAATGCCCACACAACTTGTACTTCTGTTGTGCAAACTGTTAGGTTGGTCCATTCTTGCCTTTTTAATGCCTCCCCTATAAGAGAAAGTGGTATATTTAATATTTTGCTGGTATAATTTCCTTTCCCCATGCCTGTTTTTGCTGAAATTCATAGAAACTATTTGTTAAACTCTTTTGAGTTAGTTTCATTCTAATCATGAAAACAGTTTTTCCAAGAGCTCTTGCACATTGATTGTTGTAGGATGTTATGTACTATTATTTTTCTTATTTACACATAGTGCTGTACTCCCTTCTCATGCGCAAGGGAAAATCAAAGAAAAATGAGGTTTCCCCTCTGAATGGCTGGAGGATCTTTTTTAAAGAGCGCTAAAATGCAAAATGAGCAGGAAAATATATGCTCAACCGCCGCATCAAATGAGTAACTACTTATTGAAAAAAGAAGAAGTAAATGTGAGTAGTTACAAGAGCTTGCTAGTCTATTTATAAGTGAGATGCCCCCATAGTCTTTTTGATAAGAGTGTAGCTTTGTATTCATTGAATAGAAAAGCTGTGCATCCCACATACAGTCTGGGAATTCTGGAAAAAGCATCAGTTTCCTTTCTTAGATTAATGGAAATCCTACAAATCAGTGGTCTTAGCAAGAACTAATAACTAACACTCCAAAGCCTGTAGGATAGTTCATCCTAATCATAACTGGAACTCAGGGGCCTTGTAGGAAAGAACTAAGTGCCCGTTTGGATAAGCTTATAAAAAGTAACGTAACTTATAAGTTAAAAGCTAAAAGTCATAAGTAGGGGATACCCTACTTTTGGCTTATTTAATACTTTTTTGGCCTAAAGGTGAGTGTTTAAAAGTACATTTTAGCTTTTTCAAACACCTCCAAAACTAAAAAAGTGGTTAAAAATCAAAAGTACCTAAATAAAAGCAAATCCAAACACCCCCTAATTCATTTTATTTTGGAAGATGCAATTTCAGCCACTGCATGAAACCATCAGCGACACAAAACATCTCACTGCAGGAATAAATAGTAATATGCTACAGTCATGTTGTGAGCACTTCACTGACAAATTTTGCAGAATACAGTTTGGATTCTGATTAAGTCTGGCGCAACACTGTGACAACCTCTTCGTCTTTTTTCCTTTTCCTTATTTGTTTCCCATTTTCTCGCACGTTATCTGGATATAGATTTTCACATGCCCCACATCTCTATTGTCTAAACTCTCTTTCTGTTTGGTTCAGGTTGTAGTTGACAAGTTCTCCGGCCGATCTAAAGGATTTGGTTTTGTTACATTTGATGAAAAGAAAGCAATGGAAGAGGCCATTGACGCAATGAATGGGATGGATTTGGATGGCCGTGCTATCACTGTGGACAAAGCCCAGCCTCAACAAAGTTCAGGTAGAGATTATGATAGTAATCGGCCCCATGACCGTGACCGAGATCGAGGTCGTGATCGCAGTCGCAGTGATCGTGAATACGGAGGTGGGCGGGGATCTGGTGGTGGAGAGTGCTTTAAGTGTGGCAAGCCAGGACACTTTGCTAGAGAATGCCCTAGTGAAGAAGGTCGGGGTGGTCGGTATGGCGGCAGAGATGATAGGTATGGTGGTGGCGGAGGTGGTGGTTCTAGAGGTAGTGGTTATGGACCTGAAAGAAATGGAGATCGCTTTGGAAACCGCAGCAGCAGGGATGGTGGTGGACATGGAGGAGGTGAACGATATAACCGTGATCGTTCAGGTCCATACGATCGTCGGGGTTCTGGCTCTCGCACTGGTTAATGCTTTAAGGTGCGTAGGTATTTTGGACTTTCTGATTTCACTGTATGATATTCATGCAATCATTTAATTGTGGTAACTAAAGTTTTAACCTGTCGGTTGCAGCTGAAGGGCTAGGCGCCAACCAAGCTGGATACAGAGAGTTTGAAGTATGTTTCATGGCATCTTGTTTCCTTGGCCTGTGAGAAGAAGTGGATTGATCATTTGAACTTATGAAACCTGGCACTTTAGTCTACTGTTCTATGTCCATAAATGTTCTATAGTATGGATTGATTGGGATCTTATGCGTGCTTAATTCACACTTTTGAATGCTACTATGGCTGCTGGTTATTTGCTTTGTTGGCTTGGAAAGTAGAATACTGTTGTTTGCTGCTGGAATCATAATGGTCTCTTGTGTTCACAATTGTACCTCTGAAATTTTGTGGTGATAGATGGGTCTGATGAATTGCCAGAAATGTGTATTGGCGATAAAATTTCTGTGGTACGTAAGCGTGTTCCTGTCAAATTGGGAAGCGAGGGTGAATTAGAAGTGGTTTTCCTGTTGTGTTCTCTTAGAATCTCTTAACAGTTAATGGGAGTAAAAACGGGTAATGTATTGCATTATTCCTCCATTTAGTCAGTTCCTAATTTGCAGCTTTACAGTATTAATGATGTTAACCTTTTGACAGGCTGACTTTATTCAAATGGCCTTTTTTGAGTACATGGTTGGGTCTCTTTGCTAGTTTGGGTGCATTTAAACGTAATTAATTTGAGAAAGTATTTTGGACAGCGACAATTCTTCTGCAAGTTATTACACCACTAATTGCTCTTGTGTTCGGGAAGGATTGCTGGAGGATGACCTTTAAGTTTCCTTTTAGATGGCAAGTTGTTAGATACTATTGAGTTCAGCAACAGAGGTCCATTAATTTTGTTCTGGTTCTGATGTTGCTCCTACACGGAGAAGGTTCTTGTTCGTAGTCGCAGTTTCCACATTTGAAACCTGGATGAGTGTCCTTTTGTTTCAAGTGAAGCTTCCTTTCCTTGTCAGCTTGTGGTTCTTGGTATTGCTTCGAAAGATGGTTCTGTTTTTCAATTTTTGCTGGAGGTATGGCTGATTTTGTTACCGGGTCCGAAAGTGGGTTGCTTATTTGAATATTTAGTACTTCATCCCCTTTTTTTTTTTTTTTTTGAGGTGGGAGAGGGAGTTGCCTCTTTGCTCAGTTACTCCTTTTTAGAAACATTGTAGAATTCTATTTCTTGTTTTGCTTTCATACCTGGGAACCCATTACCCATCATCTGCAGACAGATTTAGGAGTAGGGTTGAACCTTTAAGGTTCTTAAAACACTAATATGCTGTATTTTTTTTCTTTCTCAAACACCCATTGCCTGGTTGAATATCTCTATGTTTAGTATCCCAAATACTGCGAACGGAGGATTGAATATTGGTTGTATCTGTCTATCTGCCTCTAAATTATATACTTGCACCCTTGAGTACTTTAATTAGCCATGTCTAATGTTAGACTAATTATGGCTATCCTTACTTTCCATGTGTACTTTTTGGTCCAGGTGATGTTGTATATCTTTGTTTAATCGCCAACGAAGAAACTTGGCCAATAATGTGTTTTTCTACTTTATGAAGAGATGATGAAAAGTTAGTCGTTCGTCTGTGATATTAAACCTTACGAAATGTTGACAATCACAACAACTTTGAGCTTACCAAAGTCAAATGAATAAATGTTTTTTCGTATTTACCAAACATAAAAATATCTTACAAAACACGACATATTGGAGGAATAAAAGAAGTCTGCACTGCTTTTACAATCACAACAACAGCTTTGTCGTTCACAACTATTTGATCCTAATCCCTTATTTATCATCTACCTCACCTATTTTTCTTTCCTACTATAGCTATAGCCATCATAACACACCTGCACAAATCTGTTAAATTGTCAAATTTGGTGTTTTTAACAACCTTAAAGATCATAAAAATGAATCGTTCAAGAAATCTGATTTGAGAATATGCATGACATAGCATGATTTCATTAGCTATTGAGGGTATATCATGAGTTCATGGGATTAAGCATGTTGTGAAACACAAGTTCATAAATTCTGAGTTGTATATCATCTGAAGTAAGATTGAGGTCACTATATTAAAATTATTTTGCTTCTTATTCTAGGAACTGAGCATGGACGAGAATCAATATGAAGTGCATAAGCATGGGTTGATATGCGAGACATAAGTAGGGTTTTATAATGATTGAAATCTGAGGAATCACTATATTAAAATTATTTTGCTTCTTATTCTAGGAATTGAGCATGGACAAGAATCAATATGAGGTGCATAAGCATGGGTTGATATGCGAGACATAAATAGGGTTTTATAATGATTGAAATCTGAGGAATGCTCTAGAGTAGGAATGGATCGCTATCTCATCACAAGTCATTATGAACAAATCACTATATGATTTTCAAGACTTGTTTTGGCTCTTCACCCTATCATCTCCTCCTTGGATTCGAAGACGACATTCTAAGTCTCTGGACCTATTCCACACTCTTTAAACTAAACTATATTCACTTTACTCTAAAGGTTGGAGCATCACTAATCATATGACTACGTACTAAATTGTCTCTAATGAATCATATCTGCACATACTTTCTTCTAGACTTCTTTTTGAGATACTTGTCTTAACTTAATTCCTCCTGCCTCTATAGTCATATTTATGCAACCCCTACTCTTTGTGGAGTATAAAACCGCCTCCTCTGGCTCTTAATAATCTAGATTCTTCTTCTTAACCTGCTAACCTTACTCTTCTAAGTTCATATATGATTAACTAAAGGAAACTTGAACTTTATTGAGAGGCTCATTATCACCTCTCTGTAACCCCTTCGATCCAACTCTATAGGGTGATATAATGCTTACATTGCTCCTATTGGCAGCTCAAGGATACTAACTAGGTACATATATCAAGTCATAAACTTAGAGCCTCATACGACTATTACTATCTTGGATACAAATGTATCTTTCTGAGGCTTAAGTCTCTCTTCTAACCAAAGATTTTTCCACAACCTACTACCTCTCATAGGGAGCACATATACTTACTAGCTAGTTGTATCTCCACGCTCATTGAAAGCCTATCAACTTAAACTTCTTCACATGTTAACTTCCATTCACCTCCTAGACTTGATCAATATACATTAACGCGATGGCATACTCTTAAGTCACCTTAACAAATAACTCTTCTTATGATACTACATAAAATCTACACACATTCATTGCGCCTAATTAGCCAACACATAAGGGCATAACAACTTATTACTCACTTACTAGGTGCATGATCGTAACTACATACTTTACTCAATCATTATACCCACCCTTTTAGGTTATTACACTTCTAAATTCATGCTTCTAACTCTGGAAAACTCAACTACTTATGGCTCATACACTGTAAATCACATTATCTTTTGGGTGAAACACTACCAAAGAATTCTAAATCATACTCCCCCCTTAAAGGTATCATCTATTGCGAGGTTCCACAAGCTAAGGGGTATGAGAGCATATCATACTTTGGCTGAACGCACAATTTATGTGAACAAACAATGGTGCATCTTTTCGAATCGAATAAGGTTAAATGCACTTATAGGCTCCTCTTAAGCACTTGTGACCATAGTGAGAGGAATATGGAATTTATTGTTTCAACCGCCTCAAAGATGAGGCATAGTCAGAGGATTTGGAGCAACACATGAATCTACACAAGTTTCTTACGAGACCTTTGTTGCACGATCTAGAGTATGAAAGAAGGGAAACATTTTCTTAAATGTCTATAGTTCCTTTTTTGTAGAAGTGGGGCACATACAACCATAAATAAGATCATATTGATAGGATTTCATAGACTCCATAGAACACTTGAACTCTAGGCTCTGATATCAAATTTTTCATGCCTCGAGCCTACACCTTAGGTGTGGCCAACACTCGAAACCACGAATGACCCATGCATACCCTTGTCATGGCTGCCACTAATCTAAATGTATAACAACTGTGTGAAAGCTTTTAAATATGAGCATGTAATAGATTTAGAAAATAACTCAATAACTTTATAAATAAAAGTCTTGATAATAAAAATGTTTGTAAAACAACTAAAACAATAACTCAATAACTCGCCTATGAAACTTCTAATGTACTGAAGGTGAGTTGCCAGGACAAAACCCCTGGCTACCTAGATACTCTACTAGCAACAAATAACGACTACTAAATACTCTAGATGAACTACAGTCCTTCAAAAGCAAGGAGTCCTCATCAATACTGGAGGGAAGGTGAATCCCAATGACATGTCTACTGTCTATCCCGAGTACCTAAATCTGTATCAATAAATGATGCTATGCTGAATGACATCATTACATGAAATGTATAATATTTAAAATAATTGAATGAAACAACTGGGTGAAACTGAACATAATGAGTTGAATGAATAACTCTAAAGATAGACTAAAATAAGTTTACTAAATAGTATAAAATAAGATTTTTCAATTGAGAAGCTGGGATATGTTCTAAAACTGATTAATTAAAACATGATAGTTGAATACCTGAGATTGAGAAGAGAGCTACAAAAAATAGTATGCAAATATTTTTGAAGCACTTTTATCATCTGTCTTTGAGTTGAAAACATATCTAACACTATTAATCTGAGAAATTACCATATTTATGATTGTATAAATGGTAATACCAGTTGGAGTTGTAAGAATATTTATAAAAATTTTAAGTGGGAAGTTTCTTAGAATCGAGATACATCGTGTGAGCTCATGATGTCCAACAACTAACCTAGTTAGGAGGGATACTCTATACTTTTTTAGGGAATAAAACCTAACTATCTAATGTGGATCCACTACAGAGTCTCTTGGTATAAAGAAATTGATCGACTTGATGTGTGCTCGCTCAAATCCTACGGTGGCACATGGTTAAGAGACTTGTATTTTCTAAACCAGAGTCCTATTAGTGCTAAATAATCCCCCAAAAATAGATTCTCTTAGTATATCATGAAAATATATCTGAAATCATGTTGTGAGTCTTTGCTCAAAATATGTAAAATTGTATTACTTGTGAGGCCCAATGCTCACAACTATGTGAAATATACTGTTGTGTTGAGTTTTCGTGATAAAAGACATTTTTTTTTTGAAAATCATATCTAAGGAAAAGTTCTAAACTTTCATAAAAACTCTTTCAAGTGACTGAACCTTCTTTCAAATATAATCTGTGTAATAGGTATAAAGAAATTTCATGAAAATATGTTTTACTCATGAAAATAATGCATATGAAATATTATGATAGGTTTTTAAAAATAACTAAAGCTAAGAAGGATCCATATGGTAGAATAAATATAAACCATCACTAAAGAATCATCAATAAATATGAAATACAATAGTTTCAATAATATGATTCAACAATGGAAATTTCGAATTAGAGGGAGTTTGAAATCATAGACTTTAGGATAAAAACTCTACTTTTGATCTTACTAACTGAGTTCCTCACTATGATAATGTTTCATACCTTGAATCTCCCCAATTGAAACTCTAATGTTGAAGAGGAATCCCAAAAGCCCCTTCTTGAACTTTGAGATGAGTTCACTTAGAACCTTAGGTTTTGATGGTAGATTCTTGCTTAGGATACATAATCATTTGTTAGAATCACTTAGAAATCACAAGAGTATGATTGCCTTGATGTGGAAGGAGGTATAATCTCTTTGATAGATGGTGAGTCTTTCTCAAAACCAAGTCTTGAACTCTAGAAGTGAGTTCTTGGTTTTGCTAGAGATAAGAGGAGAATTTGATGTTAGAACTAAATATGAGTGTATTTATGTATTCAAACACCACCGTATTTTACCAGTGACTTAGCTAAATTTAATTTGCATATATCTTTTGAGAATTTATGTGTTTATTGAATATACTTTTTTCTCCCAAACATCAGGCTATGCGTGTGTATGATAAATAAAATTTTAGCCCTCATCTTTGCTATCACCTAGTGGTCTCACTACTTGTTGGGAAAACAGTTGTCAAACTTGATCAGAAAGCCCTAAAGTTTCGATTGCATCAACATATTCATACAAATTTCCAGGTGGCTTGTATCTCAAAGCTCATGGCTTTTGATTTCACTATTGAATATAAGAAAGGGGTTTAGAACAAAGTTGTTGTTGCTTTGTCAAGAAAAGACAAGGTTGAATTGTTGGCACTCTCATTGCTCACTCCTCATGATTCTTGACTAGATTAAATTAAGGCTTCTTGGACTACTGATCAATCCTTACGAGAGATTATTGCTAAGGTTCAGATAGTGTCTTATAAATCTTTCACTTGGCATAACAAGCAGTTGAGATGGTGGTTGATGTTGATCTTAACCTAAGGAGGAACACCACTACACTTTGGCATGACCCTACTCGGGGTGTCACTCGAGCATGGATGCTACAATGAAGAGGTTACAACCACTAGTTTATTAGAAACATCTTGTGTAGAATATCAAAGATTTCATTAATAGATGTAATATATGTCAGAGACATAAATGTGATGTTGCAGCAAACCTAGGGTTATTACATGTTACAGAATAAATGAGTCAGTAGTTAGTTTTGCCTTATGAGTAGTTAGTTATGCTGTTGGATTAGTTAGAAGCAGTTAGCAAGATAAGATTCTTTCTCATTTCTATATAAGGCATTGTATCATTACAGATTGAATCATCAATTGAATATACAAGTACACTTTCCGATGGATACTTAGACTTCACTGAGGGCCTGCCTAAGTCTAATGGTAAGGAAGTTATTTTGGTTGTTGTGGACAGATTAAGCAAGTGATGGCATTTCATGGCTTCTTCCCATCCCTACTCTGCTCAATCAGTAGCTCAGTGCTTCCATGGCAAGTTCTTTAAGCTCCATGGGATGCTTGTCACCTTGACTAGTGATAGAGATAAAGAATTCCTTAGTACCTTTTGGCAAGAGCTGTTTACTTTACAAGGTATTCAGTTACAAAGGTCTACTGCCTATCATCCTCAAACTAATGGTCAAATAGAAGTAGTGAATAGAATATTAGAAACATACTTGAGGTGTTTTTGCTCTAATTAGTCTAAAGAGTTGTTTTCCTATTTGCCTTGGCTAAATGGTGGTACAATACTACCGACCTTACAACTCTTAAGTGTACTCCCAATGAGGTTCTATATGGACATAAACCTCCTATCCATCTCCCTTATTTGGTTAGTGAAATTGTCACTTATATGGTGGACAAGTCCTTTAACTGCTAGTGAATCCATTATTCAGCTTTTGAAATTCCATACGCTCATAGCTCAGTAGAGACCGAGGGATACAACTAATAAGCATAGGTATGATATAGGTTCTTTTCAGAGGGAGATTGGGTCTACTTGAAGCTTCAGCCTGACAATTTTTTGTTGTTGTGAGGACATTTCCTAAATTGGCTGCTAAATATTTTGGCCCTTGTGCTATTGATGCTAAAATTGTAGCAGTTGCCTATAGGTTGTTGATAGCATCTGATGTTTTTATCCATCCAGTTTTCCATGTTTCACAATTGAAGAGATGCCTTTGAGGTTCCAACAATCATCAACCATCCCACAGTCTTTCATATTTCCATCCCTTATTGACATGTCCTTAATGTTGTCCAAGAAAGGAGATTAGTGAAGAGGGATAAACAAAGTTGTTGGCCAAGTCTTGGTGAAATGGTCTGATATTGATGCTATCAGGTTGCTTGGGAATATGTATCAAAGTTGCAGCACAGGTTCCCTACATTTCATCCTTGGGGTAATGATACAAATCTAAGCAAAGTTTAAAAGTAAACTAGCTGAGTTGGAAAGTTAGATAGGTGACATGACACATTAGTTAGAAATATTTAAAGTCGTTAAGACTGCAACCATTAGATTTCCAAATTTCAATTACTAGTTTTCATTTCTATAAATGTAGCCATTACATTATAGCATCTGTATAATGTTTTATTGGTCTATAATACTACAAAATTCAGCCATCAAGAGGAGGTGACAAACTGTCACTGAACATGAAAGAAACTATGATTACTTTAAGTTTACAAAGTGTTTATTCTTTAACAAACGCCACTCTATCTGATACATTAGAAAAAGAGAAGGTGCAAAGATGCTTTCTACAGCCATTCCTGCTATAAGTTGATTTTCATGTTCAGATCTGTTGTAATGACCCAATCACCTATACACATTTGGACATAATCAAATACAATATAACTGACTGAAACAAAAAAAGAAGGGAAAATGGTATGCACAAAGATGACATATACCAATTAACCCAAAAAAAAGAAAGAAAGAAAAGAAGATGGCATATACCGATTACAGATACAAGGATACAAAGAGGATTTTCCCTCAAAAGAGTCGGTCCTATATGTGCTACCGGCAGAATAAATGAAAGATCATCTTGGCCCTGACAACTCATCCGGTCGGATATTTGAAGTGGAGTCAGCTATTATCCAATCAGTATGGTGGTGGTGGACATGGTTGAAATCTTGCCGGAACATCTCCTCCTTTTGCCATTCCTCCCACCTCTCAGCAAGGCCATCACCTTCAAGCATTCTTACAACTTCTGACATCTTTGGACGTTCCGTAGGCGTACTCTGCGTGCAAAGTAGAGCTACCTGAATAAGCTGTTCCACCTCTTCTTCATTGTAATTACCTTGAAGATCTGCATCAACTAATGTTTCATATTTCTTGTCCTTCAGGAGTCCCTTCACCTGAATATCCAGTGGAATGTTACAAGTCAAATAATAGCCATGCATGCAACCATATGTGCCATCTCTAAGAGCACAGTCACTAGAAAAGCTACTAAGATCTGAAGGGAGACTAAAAAAACAGCACATCAGTGCATGAGGCTCAAACACAGCCAAGTGTTTCTGATTGACATTAGTGGCATTGCTGTCTATTAGTGTTCATGTTGCTATTACAGTTTTTGTATCCATCAGAGACACAAGAGGTTCAGAAAAGCTTTTATTTTTAATAGTCACTTCCTAACAGTTTGACCATCTCCTTTTCCTTCTCCAGGATGGCGATCCCACATAAGACTTGCCTTTCTCAAGGATGCTCCTGAATGAGTACCTGTCCTAAAGTATACTATATCTACCCCCGAATACAACATGACTGAAGTGACATTAATATGGCAGTTGCAGATACACCTTAGCTTATTTGAATGAAAATGAAAAAAGTATATTTTTCTAATCTTCAGATAGCATCAGAAATGAGAAGTGGAGATGCACATTTTCTAGATTAGTCACAAATTGAGGGGACGAATTTGGCAACCTAACTGTTGAAGCACCTGCAAGAATAAGATAATGAAAGTAATCCACTCTAATTATAACCTACATGCTCGTGCAATTTTAGCAATGAATGGTTAAATCCTCCTGAAACATCTAAACCTTTTTAAAAAAAAATTACTCACAGGGAACTGCAACGAATGTTACTTTCACACCACAAAACCACAATAAATAATAAGCAACGATGCAGGTCTCGTACCACACCATTTCTTCAGGATGAGCACATCAGTGTTCAACAAATAACACTACAGTAGAAAAAGACATCAAACTTTGACTTATAGAAGAGAAGAGAGAGTTGACTTGATCTTTTCAGAACATTCCAAGACTGTTCAATGATAGCAGAAGTGACTTGATCTTTAAGCAAATCCAAATTGCTGATTGATAGCAGAAGCAAAGTAACTTAAGCATACAGGACAGTATAAATGCTTACCCAATCTAGCAGCATGACATCATCATCATTCGCAAGTCGAGCAAGATCAAAAGCCCTTTGCCCAGTTATGAGCTCTAGAAGCATAACCCCATAGCCAAACACATCAGTTTTCTCAGAAGATTTACCAGTAGATAAATATTCAGGGGCAATATGCCCAATTGTACCACGTACAGCAGTGGTAACATGAGTATCCTTGTAGTCCATGAGTTTAGCTAACCCAAAATCCCCAACAACTGCTTCAAACTCCTCATCCAACAAGATATTTGCGGCTTTGACGTCACGATGAATAATTTTAGGATCACAATGATCATGCAAGTAAGCAAGGCCTCTTGCAGATCCAAGTGCAATACGCTTCCTTTTTGGCCAGTCAAGTGGGGGCTCTGATTCAGGCCTCTCTAGAAAAATGTAAATTATCCCATGAGCATAAATTCAAGCTATTCAGCAAACTGGAAACAGGTTCCTATTTAAGCTTGAATAAGTTATAAAAAGAAAACTGATCTTTTTGGGTCAATATCACTCTAAATCATGAAACGCCAAGTCATGAGGCATTACTTATCCAGTTTCATACAATAATAAAAATATGAATTCTCTTTCAAGACATTTAATTTTTTTGACTTTCAGATGTGCTCATTAAATAAATTTTATCATGACCTGCAGTCTCTATATTCAGTAAGATATCAAGGATAGCACCACTTGTGAAGTTGGTCCATAGAACACAAGCAAAATCATAAACAACATTGACATCTTGTTAAATATACATACCCATCATGAGAACTCATAAAAAACTCAATCACTATAATAACTAATAGCACAATGAAATTGATGTGAAGATTCCACCACTGGCTTACACTTCTGCAGTAACTTTTTCAAATTTGTTACAAATTTATGAAAGAAAAGTTAAAAGACTAAAGGCTTATCATTAACATTAGCTATTGGCTTTTTTTCTGTGGTTAGACCAGCTATGTTGTAACGTCAGAGTGTTGGCCAGTATTTAGAAGATGAAAGTGGCAGAGATAAGGATGTTGCGATGGATGTGTGGGTTTACTAGGAGAGATAGGATTAAGGATGAGGATATCCAAAACAAGGTGGAAGTGACATTGGTGGAAGACAAGATGCGGAAAGTGAGGTTGAGATTGTTTGGACATGTGATGAAAAGATGCACGGATGCCAAGGGCGGAGGTGAGAGAGGTTGGCTATGGATGGATTTAGGAAAGGTAGAGGTAGACCGTAGAAGTATTGGGGAGCGATGATTAGACACAGCATGGCGTAATTGCAGCTTACCGAGGACATGCCCTTAGATAGAAAGCTGTAGAGGACACAAATTAGGGTAGAAGATTAGTAGGTAAAAGTACATCCATACTAGTAGGTAGGAATGCATTATATTGTTGCCCTTACTAGTAGTTGTAGTACTATGCTTGTAGTTTCTTGTTCTTCGATTTTTGTTGATATTTGATGTTTTATGTAGTTCTATTACAGTATTACTTTGTTGCAGTACTGTTTTGATACTATCTGTTGTTTTTGTTGCTATCTATTTTCTCTTGTACTTCAATTATGTCTTTTTCTAGACTATTTTTGTCTTGAGCCAAGAATCTATTGGAAACAACCTCTTTACCTGACATCTGAGGTAAGGTCAGCATATGCTCGACCCTCCCCAGACGCCACTTTGTGGGTATGTTGTTGTTGTCGTTGTTGTGAGCCTGCCTAAAGGTGAGCAAAAAGTAGAGGCAAGCACATGAAAATTAAAAAAGAGATACCTCTTAAACGTGATGCAACACTTCCATTCTCCATGTACGGATAAACAAGCACCCGCTCAGTGGGTGTCATGCAAAATCCCCGTAAACGAAGTAGGTTTCGGTGTACAGCCATGCTGATCATTTCTACTTCTGTCTGAAACTGTAACTCTCCACCTTGAGTACGTTCCTCTTTTAGTCTTTTCACTGCAACTAAAGAGCCATCAGCTAACCGGCCCTTATAAACCTTACCAAATCCACCTCTACCGAGTATATTTCTGTTGCTAAAATTATCCGACGCAACTTGTAGTTCACGCAAGGAAAACCTTTTGAGTTGTCCCAGATGAACTTCTGGATCCTCCTCAGCTGCAAAAGCAGTTATAATGAGTGAGAACACATCAAGTTGAAAGTACAATTAACTCAGATTCAATGTGTTTTGACAAACCAGGAACATCAAAGAAGTGGTCTTGCGGTTTCCTCCGACGCCACCAAGCAATAAAAATTGCAGGAGCTGCAAATAGAAGAGCAGCGCCTGCAGCAACTCCTCCAGCGATAGCTCCAGTTGCGCTGTTGCCCACTGAAAACATGATTGAGTTAACTTTTTATTTGTATGACCTAAATTTTAAAATACAGGCAATTCTAAAAAATATATGGTACTTTTGACACACGTATCACTCGAACTTCAGAGTTTACAGTAAATCTAATTTCCAACAAAGAAAAAGATGTTGATAGTATCTTCAAGCTTATTTGAATTTTTTATTTTGGAAAGTCATGAATGCTGGATAACCACAAGACCCCAATACCTGTATAATTGATCTAAAAAAAAGTAATTTACAGTGCCTACAGTAATGGTAGTTTTTTTCATAAAGAAAGTGCTTTCATAAGGGAATCCAGTCTGGGGCTCATCTCTTCAGCTTTCCCCAGGCAACCAGGCCTTTCCTTTCTTACCATTGCCATCTCCCCTTATTGTGAATAACTTAAGGGATTTTCATGAAAACTAAATTGGAATAGGGAAAAAGGAGAGGTAGCACAATTTCATAACAGCATAAACACAAATTATGTCAACAAACCTGAAGATGACGATGAGGGCGTAGGAGGAAGAGGAGGAGGTGGAGAAACTGGAGGAACTTCCAACTGATTATTAGCAAAACTGAAATATAGGTACTCAATCTTTAGATATTCACTATTGTAACTTCAGGAACAGAAGGAACTACAAATTTATGCTTCCAACACACCTTATAGGAGTAAAAAGTGAAAAGGAACCGTTGACTGGAACTGGTCCTGTCAAATGGTTGTTTGAGAGATCACTGCATTGAAAGGCAATGACAATAAGTAACCCAGAAGAACTAGACAACACAGACAACATACAGCATTGATAAATAAAGGAACAACTTTATACTTACAGTACTTGAAGTGCAACAATGGTGGTTAGAGACACGGGAATACCTTCATTCAAACTGTTATTATTGAGCCTCCTTCAATTCAGCAAAGAAAAAAAAAGGATAAAAGGAAGGTTGATCAAGAGTAAGCAAGACAGGAAAAGAAGTTCGTCAAAGCGAATACTGGTCTAGATCTCATTACTCAGTACATGTGCTAAATGTAGCGTACATGTGCTAAAGGTAGACAAAGACAAATACATTTATATATATAAGACTAGATACTCCAGAAAGATTAATTCCAATATGCTAGGAAAAACTTGCTGATAGTGTTTGCAGGTTGAGAATCACCGTTCATACGTAAAGTATTTTAGCAATGAACTAAATCCACAGGCCATTTTCCTGATAAGATGAGAAGTATCTCAGATTGTCACTTTCAGTTGAGCTGCACGGCTGTGAGTCTATATCGAGAGAGACCAAGCAAGCACAACTTTGTTAATCAGATAATAATTGAATACTTTTAGAATATATTTTTATTCAAGTTGGTTCATATTATTCTTAACATTTTATATTATTACTTATTAATCTCTGTTTGTCGTACAAAAAAAGAGTCCAGTCCAGTCACCTGGTCTTCACTCAGCAACCATACAGTATTTGGGAAACAAGAACAAGGTTTGCCAAGCATGTCAACTAACTTTCCACTACAGAGCAAAGACAGAATGAATCATACAGATGTATTCCCTGTTGACCTCTCAAACTACAAAGGTTTATTCACTGACAGGAGTAGTGATTTTCATAATGCTTCCACACATCAATTTTTTTGGACAGAACCCATCAATGTAAACATAACTAACAGAAAAGTTACAGAACATCATACAGATTTGCTTAGAGAATTAGAAACTACAACCCCATTTGCATGATTTAGCTAGTGTTTAACCATAGATTTCCAAATATTTTTGGCAAATATTATTTGTGTTAAAATTTGGGTGAAATTTCACCATGTGTTTGGCCATAGTATTTGGGAAACATATTTCACTTTTTTAGGAAATATGATTTATAAAAGTTTTAAAAACTATCAAAACTAACCATAAGTTTATATTACAAGTCAATTGGATCTTCGTTGCAACAAATAACAAGCAGTGTCCATGACATTGGAGCAATATGGTAGTTCAGAGTGAGTGCAACAAGCATCATTCCATACATCGTCAAGTAGACAAAGATGTGACTTTGTTATCCTAAGCCGATTGTTTATCATTTTCATCAATAACCATATGATCACTTTCATATTCACTGAATATTTCATTACTTTAGTGTTTACGTAAAAAATTATGTAATACAACGCCAACAACTACTATAGAGGGTGTTTTTGTAAAAGATAAAAGTTTGGTGTAGCATTTAAATTTTTAAAAGACCCCAAATAATGAGATTTGGCCCAAATACTAGTTTTTTCTAGTATTTGGGAATTTGGGTTATTTGCCAAATAATGGCAAATTGTATGGACAAACATTATATGCCAAATTTTCCCCCAAATTTTACTTGGGAAATCTATAGCCAAACGGATCCTTAACATAGACGCTGCTTTCTTGATAAAAATAAAAATAGAAGGTGATCATTTCTGATTTAACTAAACTTCAGATATATATGCTAAAGATTTGAAACATTGAAAAAAAATAACCAAACCGAAAAAGAAACAAAAAGAGAAGAAAAAAAACGGAAGGAAAAAGAATGTATAACTCGTACAGGAAGCGTAGTTTCTGAAGCTTGCCCAATGAGGGAGGGATAGGACCATTTAAGTTGTTCAGGTAAAGATCCAAACTAACCAACTCTGTCAAGTTCCCCAATTCATTTGGAATTCTTCCGCTTATGTTATTACTATAAAGTTCCCTGAAATTAAAAAAAGAGATCATTAGCAAGTTATTCTGAGAATTTGCAGACCATGCCGCTTAAGATGAGACATGCCAACTAACATGTGCATAATTATGTTGCACATTTGAAGTGTAAATTACTTCCACAAGTTACACTCTTAGGTAAACATGAAAAAAAGAACAGATGTACTAAAGGGTCGTTTGGTAGGGGTATAATTAATAATAGAACTGAATAGGGTGTATTAGTAATAATGAGATTAATTATGCTAGACTATTTTTTGTCGACTATTTGGTTTGTTGTATTATATAAATTGGGTATATTAGAATACGAATAGTACTGGTATTGCTAATGTCATGATTTACTATGTATAAGAATAGTATTGAATAGGGTGTATTAGTTATACATAGTTTGAGAACACTACGAAACAAGGGATTAAATAATACCAAAGCTTTTACCAGTACTATTTTCTCTAACAACTCCTACCAAACGACCCCTAAAAGCAATAGGTAAGGTATAACTATAGTGTAGACTAGTAACTGAGGAAGTTCCCCACCCAAACAGAGAGTATTGTGATTTTAGCACACAACTTCAGAATTTGGCAAGCAAATAATCAGGTGGTAGTAAACAACACCTAGATCAAGTGGCAAGTTAGAGATCTCTGGATTTCAAGATTCAGGGTTCAATTTTCCTGGAAGGCGGTTTATTTTTTACCTCGTGTAGATAACTCTGTAATTGAATAATTGGTTCTATTTGACTAAATTAAACTTTCATTGTCAATCTGCGCGAAAATAGTTCAAAACACCATTAATCGCTTCTTAAAAAATAGAAGAAAAGAAGCTTGAGGGAATAAGGAGCCAAGTTAACATACTTCATGTTGAGAGGATTTTATGTTCAGAGGATTCTACCACCACAAAAACTACAACATCAATATAATGGAAGCAGGATAGGTTATTTGCACCAACTTCCACTGGAGGACTGGTTCGAAAGGGTAGCAATGAGAACATTACATAGGGCAGTAGAATGAGCAAATCAAATATCTGTTAACATCACTATATAAGGTATTAAAGAACAATCTTATCAATTAGTTCTGAGCAAATGTACCCTCAGAAAATGAATACATGGTTAATAAAGTAAAATGAAAATTATTCATATCACCAAAACCATAGCCTAATGTGGGAGCTGCAGATAGAGATAGATGGAGGATTGTCCCAGCCTGTATTTGGTGGACTGTTTGGAAAGAAAGTAATGCTAGATGTTTTGAGACCAAGAGCTGTGATCTTCAAAAGATCAAACTAAATTGTCTCAGGCTTTTTTGCTTCTGGTGCAAGCAGATGTATTTAGAGGACACAGAATCCATTATAGATATCCTAGGTTCCTGTTAGGATTCAGATTCAGTTTTCTTACTTTTTTGACAAGCTGTAAATATGGTTTACAGTGCAACCCATGCACTGGGTCAATGAATATACACAAATGTTACCTTCTCAAAAAAAAAAAAACATAGCATAATGTTGCATAACTCAAATAGGATAAAGTGACGGACTATCTACTATGAAATAACGTCCCTCCCTCCAAGTATAATATAGCTTCTTTCGCCAGTTCGGTTACAAAAAAAGAATTTGACCAGCATTGTCATATAAAATTTAACTTGAAAAAAAGTAAAATAGAATAGTAGTTGTTACTGTCATAGAGTGGAGTGGCCTTCAGAAAATATCAAGCAATACTATTTTGTAGTAATTTTAATTCTTGAATACAAAAAAGCTTTTTTATTTAGTAAACGATCAGGTAAATTGGGACTAGAAGGAGAATCACCAGCCAAACTGGTTTTTTCTTTCATTTTCCGATAACTAGTCAAATTTGCATCTTTGCGATCAAAAGAATATCCAAGTACATGAACAGAAATGCATTGGTTCCTCCTAGAAAAATTAAGGTTGGATATTTTAAATTAGGGTGTGGATGATTCATAAAATCAACTTGATGGGGCAGTACACTTCTAATAAGTCGAGAAGCTACATGAGCAAATTTTTATGCACACAAAATTGACCCAAAAAAAAGAAGGTAGTGTCGGCATTTATTCCCACTATAAAGTATAAAAAAATGCTACTCTCCACCTCACAATTCTTCAACCAAAAGAATAAAAATTAAGGAACGGAGACAGACCTTGGAGTCCAGAAGGTTGAGGTTAAGTAGGACCAAGACAAAATATTTGGAATGCAAGTTCAGTGACGTAACACGCCCAATGTTGACGTGGAAGTGAGGCTTGATTCACGAGTTATCCAAGGAAATGGGGAAATAGACGATGATGTCACATTTCGTATTGGTGCAGGGTGAATGAAATGAAGGCTCATATTCGGAGTATTGCATGATGAGAAAGTGCCACCAAAAGGTAAAAAGGCAAATTTTACAAAGTGGTGGTTAAACCAACTATGTTGTATGGGAAAGAGAGTTGGCCAGTCAAGCACTCTCACATTAAGGAGATAAAAGTTGCAGAGATGCGGATGCTACAGTGGATATGTGGGCATATTAGGAGAGATAGGAATAGATATCGGGAACAAGGTAGGAGTGGCCTCAGTGAATGACAAGATGGGGAAGCGAGGCTGAGGTGGTTTGAACATATGAAGAGGAGATGCATGAATGCCCCAGTACAGAGGTATGAGAGGTTGGCTATGGATGGTTCCGAGAGGGGTAGAGGTACCCCGAAGAAACATTGAGGAGAGGTGATTAGATAGGACATGACACAATTGCAGCTTACCGAGGAAATGACTTTAGATAGGAGGTTGTGGAGAACACAAATTAGGGCAGAAGGTTAGTAGGTAGTTGAGCTTTGTCTTGCTTATCATTCCTTACTAGTAGTAATAGTATTTCTCCTATAGCTGCTTCTCCTCAAATTTTTGTTACTAGCTACTATCTCTTACACTTTGATTATTGCACTATTTTGTTGTAGCTACTGTTCTTTTTTTCAGAATGCTTGTAAGAACTATATTTCAAGAAGATACTTGAACTTTGCGGGGCTCCTATTACCCCCCTCTAAAAATCTTTGAATTGGTATTATTACATTCTTCTATGACCAGTCCCGATTTTTAAAATGCAAGTGTTTTTACGCACCAATCATTACTTGACACGTGTTAATTTATTTTAAAGAAAGCACTTTTTTGTTTTTAAGTTTTTCTTTATACTTTTTCTTTCTTTTTTCTTTTTCTCTCTCTTACGCTTTTGACTTCTTTTTATCCTTTTTTACTTTAATTTTGACTTCACTTTAAATACATCACCTTAAAAACATAGCCCTTAATGCTTATAATAATTGTTTGGGGATATTAAAAACTTATTGATACAACAACATACGTAGTGTGATCCCACAAAGTGGGTTCTAAGGAGGATAAAGTGTACAAACCTTACCCCTACCTTAGAGGTAGAGAGACGGTTTCTGATAGACCCTCAACTCAAGAAAAAAACAGTCCAAAGTAGTATAGAGAAAGAAATAACGGAAATGAAGAAGTTATGGAAAAATACTACAGACAACGGAAGTCATAAACAGATAAAAAATAATCGAAGTACAAAATACAACAAATAATAACCAAACTCAAAGGACGAGGAATTACAAGAGTAATATTACGACTAATAGTACAGAAGAATAAGTGAGACAACGCTTAACTATCTTTAAGTAGACTTAGTACTTCCTCAGAATGGCAATGTACAAAGATTCACTTTTTCTAATAGAGATATTGTTCAGTCCCACTAGTGTGTGCCTCGATTAATCTACCGAATACCTGCTATTTTCCACTAGGCCACCAACTCTTAGGCAGATTGAAAGAATTCACCTACGCTTGCCTCTGCAAGGATTCAAACCTTGTGTCCAAGGTTGTTACTCAAACACTTGGACTGCTAGGCCACCCTTTGGGGTTGTTCTGAGATTAAGTTGTTTAGGACAATAATAAATTTGTAATACAAAACCATCCTGGGGACTCAAAACACTAGATACTTCCTTCTGTAGAAACAAATATATACATGCTCATTTACATTTATGTTATGAATATTGATTAACACAATTATAAAGAAAATTAACTGATTTCAAGAAACATGGTCTGGAGCAAATCGAACAATCAAAGAACAGCCTTTAACATCCTTGAGACATAATGATTCAATTAACTTACAAGTACTGCAAGTTCTGGAGTTGGCCAAGCTGTGGTACCAGTTGACCTGATAGATTTGCATTTCCTAGATCACTGTGTTAAAAAAGCAACCAAAATTGACAAATGAAACCACAATATGAAAGGAAGAAAAAAATAATTGTGTAGCTTACACTCTAGTCACACTATTTTCATTGTTGCATGTTACATGGAACCAAGTACAAGGATTAACAAGGGTTGCATCCCAACTCTGTAGAACACTATTAGGATCAGCCAAATTTGTCTTCAGAGCATTCAAGGCATCACCTGTCTTACATAAAAGATGATATATCAGTGATCAGCTCAACACACATTAAAACCAACAATTTCGAAATATTAGCTACAACATAATACATCATTTGCCAATCCAATTTTTTTTTTCTTTCTTTTTTTTGGGGGATGGGGGCAGCCATTTTCAGGGTTTACTCAATTTTGTGCTAAAATTGTCTCCTGCTAGAGCAAGACGAATCCATAAATGTGTTTAATTTCTGCACAGTGGCCGCACAAAAAATTTTCACCATCAAGTACTAAAAATTTAACTACAGGAACAATTTAGGCTTAATATATCAATAGCCCTTAAACTTATTAGTAAATTTCATTTAAACGGTCGAACTACGACTTATTCCAATTGATGAACACATGTACAGTATTCCAATTGGACAGTTCCAATTCAAATTATGGAAAGTCATTTGCACGTATTCTCAAGTATCCGTTACCTAGAGAATAAGTTAACCACTAAAAATACGTCACCTCCTTTAGTTATACACATCAAGTAAAGCCTCAAGCATGTTCCAGTTTAGTCTGATGTGTATAAATAAAGGAGATGACATAATCTATGTGGTTAGCTTATCTACGTAATGAGCACTTGAGAATACACATAAAATTTGAACTGAAAGTGTTTAATAGGAACCCTTTATCATATGTTCAAGTACTCAATTGGAATAAGCGGTAGTTTGACTGTCTAACTGAAATTTAATGACAAGTTGAAGGGGTTGTTGATGTATAAAGCCAACAATTTATAATAAGCCTCAATGAGTAACCTGCAAAAGCTGTTAGCAACCTGTTAAGTAAGGTTTATAATCTGAGACTTGATCAATAAACTGCAGTTCAAGATTTTATGTAATTGGGATCCCATAACCACCCAATTAAAGATTCAAAACTCCACATATATTTTAGCAGTGATGAAAAGGAAAACCCAAAAAGAAACAAACCTTCAGCGTTACCGGCGACCATTGACAAATTCAAAAGCAGCCCAATTAAGCAGAGAAATACCCAGATCGCCAACACCGACTGATCCATGATTCCCAGTCATCCACACCTTTCTACAACTAAAAACCAAGATTCTTCATTGAAACCACCCCGCTAAGAAAAAGAATCCTCCACCCAATGGCACTCAGCTTCAAAAGTCAAACCCAAAAAAAGAAGAAGACTGAAAGCCCTAATCCCCAAAAAGTGAAGTCAATGCAGTAATGAGACTAAAAATGAAAGCAAAAGGGTCAGGGAAAGAAGGTATTTTTGTGGCTAGTTACAATTCTCTTTGAAAATTGAGAATGACAAATGGAAGAAGAGATAGAGAGAGGAAAGAAAGTTGGCACAAATTTGATAAAATATGAATTATGAAATTCAACGGAGGAATGGTGTAGGTGAAGCAGTCGTTGAAGCAGAAGAGAGTTAGTCAAAGCTTCATCTGCCTTTCACTCTTGGACTATTCTTTATTGGAAACATACAAAATTGCAGGTTGGATTATACAATTTTTTATATCATCATTTGGGAAATTACAAAAAATGAATTTCAAGTTTTCACACACATCACCCTTTTAACACAGTCACGTAGTAAGTAAACACACAAAGAAGTCAATCAGATTACACACAAAAAGTAATACATCAAGAAGTTAATGGAATTACATGCATTATATGGAATTTAATGAACACAGACTTCAACTGTTTTAATTTATTTGTCTGTTTTTTATTTGGCACAAACTTTAATAAAATAAAAAGTTTTTTAAATCTTATGATTTTAAACTAAAAATATGTAGAATATATCAAAATGTTCTTTAATCTTGTATTTTTATATATTCATGAAAAAAAAATAGAATTAAAGAGTTGTCAAAAAAAAAGAAGAGACATTCTCTTGGACACCAAAAAAAGAGAGGATAGAGTGTTGGTAGGATAGCCATATGTGTGTAAGCTATGTCTTAATTGCAACTCCCCTCTCTTATGCGTTATAATAGATTTTCTTTTTCTAAAAGTAAGTTGTTTATGGGAAGATACTCTCATGTTGTGGAAGATCGTGAGCTAATTAGCACACAATACACATAAAGTAGATAGCAGTGTTTTTAAAAATGTTTTTGGGGCGAGTCCTAGGGTGAGTCTCGGGGCGGAGCGTATTAAAAACGCTTTAGGGTGTAAATTAAAGACGTAGATCCATAAGACGTAAGTTCTAAAATTTGAGGCGTAAACCTCGAGCATATAACGTAAGTCTTGGGCGTAAAAACGTAGGTCTGAGCGTTTTTAATTTATTTTTTAAAACTTTTTTTGCTTTAAATCATAATTTTTATTATTGGTGTAATGATATTTCTCAAATAGTAATTATAATATTATTTTTTCATTATTGATTATTAATACTTATCTCAAATAAAAATCATAATATAATTTCTATATATTATAGGTTATTTATAAAAAATTATTTGTAAAATCATTGAAAGTTTTACTTTTGCTTATTTTATTAGTAATAAAACTATAAAATTGAATATACATGAGACTACACCTCGTAGATCCATGAGACTTACGCCCCGTATCTTGGAACTTACGCCTCGCTCCGTACGGTATAAAACGCCTAGTCTTACGCCCCTGCCTTTTAAAACACTGGTAAATAGAGAAAGGAATTAACACATGAATTCAATAAAATTTGGTCAAGTCTAGTCCTCAAAACAAAAGTAGATAGAGTTTTTCATTGTGGATGAGAAGAATTAAATAGTATAAATAATCTCTCATTATAATTTTTAATATAGATTTCAAGTAATTTCTAATCCTACGAGCAATTATTTCTCAAATCTACAAGGACAATAATTTTCCAAGGAAAATAGGTCTCCTAAACCTATTTGGAAAGCTAACATAATTAAGATTCAAAAAACTCAAGGGTAATTTTTTAATCAGTTTGAAACAACATTCACTACCTTATCATCAGCCCTCACATGGGCTCTATTGTGATGACCCAGAAGGTTAATTTTTGAAATTTTTATAAAATTATTAATTTACCCCTCTTGTTATCGACCCCGAGTCATTTATGATTGATTCAAATCTTGAGTTAAAAGTTGTGAGTTATGAAAGTTTTTGAATTCAAAAGGCTAAAGTTGTTAAAAAGTGGCTTATGGTATTCATTTGGATTTTCGAGTCTCGGAATGGAAATCTGTGGATTTCATCAGTCATGTAATGTGGAAATTGGTCTAAGAGAATTGTCAGTTTTAGATTCAGAGTCTTTTCATGGATTTGAGGTCCTAAGTTGGAAATTTGTGAAATTTTAGCCTATGGGTTAACTTTGAAAAACATTTAGGAATTCAGATGCTCGGATTGGACTTCCGACAGTTCTGTTGGATTCAGGAGAAGATTTTAGTTCTAGGGGAGGTCTTGGTTGAATTTTTAGAGGTCTCAAGCTTGATTTAGCCTTTTTAGGAGTTATGTTGATTCTTTACGACTTTTACGAATTTTAGATCAAGGAGACCTCAGATTCATGTTTCGATGACTTCACTAAGTTTGGAACGTTGAGTTTAGTTGAGTAATATATTTTGATTGTGTGAACGGGATTTCGAATGAATCTTGATGGTCATTTCGAGAACATATTATGCCTTGTGTGATTGTTGCTTCGTTGTTTCTAGTGCAGTATTAATTGTTCATTGTGATCGTGTGGATGACCTTCCAGATTGTGAAGCTTTGCAGTTATGGTCACCCCAATCGCGTGGAGGTTTACCGTGATCAGGATAGTCAAACTTAATGAGTTGACCCGTTCAACTCATTGCAATCGTGAAACTTTGGTCAACCCAAGATAACTGGAAGTTCCAACTAATAAGAAGCCTAATGAACCTAAAAAAAGGATCAAGGCCCAGCAGAAATTACTTATTTTTCGAGACCCCGTTATAAGTTCTATCTATATATCGTCTGATCGCCAAGTCATACTTTACTCGATTGCATTTTATTGGAATTGAGATAATACCCCAGAGAAATTTGACTTTACTTTTTTGTTTTTGAAGTAACTTTCATCAACTAGCACTAGTTTGAGGTGAACTAGCACTAGTTTGATGTCAACCTTTAGGAGTAGATCACGATGAGCATTTTATACCTGGCAGAATATTTTTCAAAATCAGGGTTTTTGTCCCCCATTTCACCATATTTGAGTTTTCGGAGCTTTGGTGTGACGATTTGAACAAGGTTTTTTAGAAGAAACATTTGGGTTGCGATTCTTAATCTTAAATCTTCATTTACCGATTATTACTAATGAATTTAAGTGTTCAAATTAAGGTTTTTGGAATGATAATTTGGGGTTTCTTCAAGAACCCGAGAACTTGATAAAATGGTGATTTTGAGCTAAATTCTAATCTTTTTTCGAAATGATTTTCACCAATGAGTTCTAAATGACTTGGTTAATTTACTCAAGTAACGATTTTTGAATTCAAATATCATTTTGGCAATTGGGGTTTTTGAGTTGATTTGACTCATTTTTTGACGTGTGTGATATGGGTGTTGTTATTTTCAGAATCTTATTGTGATTACTTGTTGGATTAGATTGTGTGGTTTTGGACATTGTTTAGAAAGAAAAAACTCAAGTCTTAGATTGACTTTTGATTGAATTAAGGCAAGTAACGGGAATGAGGTGATGTGTTTAGTTACTCCACTTGATTGATCTTTAAAAAAGGAATAAATGAAAAAGGCAACGTCTTGATAGTTTGTATTTTTTGAATTGCCTTGATGTTGATCCTAATTCGTTGATTGGCGAAATACTTTGATGTTATTATTGTGGACTTGAATTGCTTGAGTTTATTGTCTCTTTCCTATGATGTGAAATTGCCTTTTGGCATTGATTTTGTGCACAGTGATGAAACATGTGGTAATTATACCAATGGAAAATGGTTCCGGCTAGTGATATTGTGCCGATGAGAAATGGTTCCGACAAGTGATATTATATAAAGTCGATTGGAAATGATTTTGGCTAGTGATATTGTGTCGATGGAAAATGGTTCCGAAAAGTGACATTATATTAAGCCGATGGAAAATGGTTCCGACTAGTGATACAAAGCCGATGGAAAATGGTTTTGACTAGTGATATTGTGCCAATGGAAACTGGTTTTGATGAGTGATATTGTGCCGATGGGAATTGATTTTAGCAAGTGTTTGGCTATTGTGATTGATCTACTTTATACTTGTGATCGATCTTCTTTATACTTGTGATTGATCTACTTGATACTTGTGATTGATCTACTTGATACTTGTGATTGATCTACTTGATACTTGTAATTGATCTACTTGATACTTGTGATTGACATTCTTGATACTTGTTGATTATTGGATTGATACGGTTGGACTATGATTGTTAAGCCTTGTGAGTTGTACATTGTAAACTGTTAGGTTGGGTGATTTCTATGCAGGTTGTAGTTAAGGTGGTTCAGTTGGGATGAAAAAAGTACTAGTGCTCCAGTTTAGTTTTGCCTTGTTTAGTGGGTTGTTTGATGAGTACCTTGTACTTTATACTCACTCGTTGCTTCTACATTTGTGTAGGTTCCGAGCCTAGACCCATGTGATGATCATTCTTCTTCATCTTTCTCCAAGGCTTTCAAAGGATTGTGAGAGGTAGATGTTTGTCATCCTGACGGACCCTTTTGTTCCTTATTTTATGCTTTGTTCTATTCGAGAAACAAAGACATTGAGACTTATATAAATCTTTCAATTATGTTTTCATACATTAGAAGCTTGTACATGTGACAACTAAATTATGGGGTGTTTATGAAATTGGCTAAATTTTTCCATACTTATGCTATTGTTGATATATTCTCAGCATTTCTTTTGTATTGTTGGGTTTTAGGCTGACTTGTCTTGGCGGGTTTAGACTAGTGTCATCACATTCATTTTTGGGTCGTAACAAATGGTATCAGAGTCCTAGGTTCATAGGTCTCACATGTGTACAAACCAAGTCTAAATAGAGTCTCGAGGATTGGTATGAAGACATTTGTACTTTTCTTCAAGAGGCTATGAAGACTATTAGAAAAAAAAATATGTTTATTCATTCTTTCTTATTGTGTGTGGTTACCTTCCCTAGTATTGAGTTACCGCGTGTTATTTTGGCAGATGTCGAGGACTAGAGCTTTTATTTCCAGTGGTAGGGGGAGGTAGTTGCTAAGAACTTAGCCAGGGTAAGGGTAGGACCTGAGCTAGAAGCCATGCTCGTAAAGTTGCACCGATTAGAGGTCGTGCCCGTGGAGCATCACCCGCTAGAGGCCGAGCTAGAGAGCTCTCCCTTAAGCCACAAGTTGAATTTATTGAGGACCAGGTTCCTTTTTGAGTTTGCAGCTCCTTTGTTTCAGGACACTTTGCTGAGGATGTTGGGTGTACTAGAGAGATTTTCTCTAGGTGGTGTGACAGGCACACCGCTGAGTTCTCAGACGAGAGTGGAGGCGTAGAACCTAGGTCAGCATTAATGTCCAGTTATTCATGATAGGTGGGTCAGCCACCA